AAGTCTATTATGCTGCCCAGCTGCTACTCATTTCAGTGCAGCATCTTTTCTTGGATATGATCAGGTCAGTATTACGAAAGATGCTAGAACAGAAGCAAAATTTGTTGTTGGTGGAACAAGTGGTAGCTTTGTTGATAAATGTTTAGTGCTACGTACTGGTTGACTGCAAGGTCATTTTGCTGATCTCTCCAAAGCACTAACAAATTTGGAAGTAATTAACGAAAAAAAAAAACATCCAGGAAATAATAACCCGGCTAAAATGCCCTATTTGGCATTGCTCAACTTGTCGATATTTTTTCACAACACCGAAGGAACTGTTCCAGTAACTTGACAACCTTGCTGATAAATGCAACGTTCAGTGCGCTAAGAAATTTACTTTGCACAACTGCTAAATAGCGCGATACTTCTAGCAGTCTCAGCAAAGCCGAAACAGGACAAATTACGCTTCCCCAGCTTCCTTCGAGGGGAAAAAACACAAACACACACAGTGCCCCTCGGAACGAAAAAGACAGCATTAGGGCGGGTGCGACTACAGATCGAGAATAGCCTGTGGCGGACTTAGCTCTGGCGTAAGGGACACGGATGCGTTAATAAAAGGGATATTCGAAAAGGCTGCGCAGACGTGCTTGGCAGACAGTATACGACTAAACATGGGATGGGCACCGACAATCTAAGTAGCATTCCGCAATGGTTGTTTGGCAACAAGAAACTGTGAACGATGCGAGAATTTTGAATCGTACCAGTCGTTTTGAAGCTATGTGTTAGCCGGCTGGTGGGGGACGATTGCATGCATCCTTATCTCCCGCACAGAATCGGTGGTGGTTTTTCGAGCAGCCCTCCCGACATGGGCGAAACGTCAACGTCGCATAATGCATGATCTGAACGCGTTGCAGCTAGCAGTTTTGCTTTGCAGCTTTTTACAAAAACGAAAAAAGAGCGAAATAAGCGAGATAATACGCAAATTTCAAACATTATGAAAAGCGATGTGATAACACCTTACAGGACTTCGTGCAACCATGCGTAAATCAAAACAGAAAGCAGTCTGCCTCCGACGACTAGCACATATATGCTTTTTCGCGTAGTGGATAGTTATTGCTAAGCACACTTAAACGTTCATTTGGCTCCAAAGCATGTCATGAGAAGACGCGCTAAATAATGCACCGTGAAAGGGATGAAAAGCAAATTCAGTCCTGTGGTTCGGGAAAGAATCAGAAACTGCAGTGGCAAAACTTTAGCTTTCTAGCCTTCGCGATCTTAAAAATGCATGAGACTGCCGAATAATCTATTACAGCAAGAAGTTTAATAAGTCGATTTCAGCTTACGCATCCAACGCCAACCTGCGCAAATCTAACCCCTTCCATTATTTTTTGTAAGCATAATTGAGGTTGTAGTTTGAAACTGAGAAAAGACAGGAAACAATATCAAGGCTTTATACAGCTACAACATAAAAATTATTTCCTACAGTTACAGTTTTCCAGCTTGTCTGATGAATTGAAAGACACATGAATACACAACCACAGACAGAAATTTATTCTAACTGCATTTTTTTATTTGCCCAAATTAAGCAGACATTTTGCCAAGAACGTGTAAGTAAGTGTACGCTTTTGTGTTTGTATCTAAGCATGCGTATCCAGTAAGCCAGTGCTAGAATTATGCAGCTGGGAGACTAAGTTTTTGGAAGCATAGTCTTTAATCACGGACAGTACTATAAATCTTAAACTGATTTTCAGTTTCTTCCAGTTCCTTCTTAATGACCTCAGGATGACTCAGAGCAGCATTACAAAGTGGGAGAAAAAAAATGTACATTCGATCTTTTGAAAGTTTAGTTCAATAAAATGTTTAGAATCGGGCTTCTGAGCTTAGGATGTGGGCGATCTAAATCAGATTTTAAGCTGACCCATGAACTGACCCATACATAGATTAAAATGGACCGAAACATTTCTTACCTATAACAGACATTTCTTTATACCCCTTACGTATTTCAATATCCCTTTCCTCCTTTTCACTGTTTCCTTTTTCTCCTAATATTTTCTTTTTAATCTTTAACAGATTAAAATGAAAGGAGTATTAAACTTGAAAACTCGGGGTTTTAATTTACAGGAAGCTAGATTGATAGGTCGAAACTACTTTTTTACCCACGTTATCCACTGATCACATACTGGCCCCAGATGTCCAGACAAGCACTGGTGTTGTAACTTCAAAATACATGGAACTGGAATTTAGGTGGTAATTTTTAGCTCCAAATCACCTTTCGGGTCGAGCTATTTCTCATCCTTTGACTGCATAACCAATCACGAGCAGTTGTTACAAGGTCCAAAACTGGAAAAACTACGAATCGGAGGAATTTTGCTCTCTTTCAGTGTACCAGTGACAATGTCTTACACGTATTAAATGTTTAGAATTGAGCATTCGCAGCAGCTTATGCTAAAGCCCATGGCCGTTCCGGTCTCGTGGCACCTATCCTATATTTATTTCGCTGCGCCCGTCTCATCGACAAAATTTCACGTTTTTCAGAGAAATTTTTGTCATTCTTGGCAAAAGTTGTGCTGCTTCAGCTAATGGACCTGCTGATTCGAATACTCACGTCTCTTTTCCCAATAATGATTTTGACCTCTCCTCAGCGCAGAAAGACTACTAGCCCTTTTTTCACCTTGTACACGCCAGCGAATTCGAGACAAAAAACTGCGATTTGGGCTGGGCAGTCTGTGGGATCCACGTTGACGACATAACTGTTGAAAAACCAGAATGGTGAAAGAGAGGGAGGAATGGAATGTGCGGAGGCGGAGTGTTAGAGGTTGGAAGGTGGGGCAACTTTCAGGAAGTTGCGCACCGACTGCGAGGTAGTCGAGAAAACGGCTTAGAAATGGGAGTAATTCGATATTGCAGGTTCAACGCGTGAGATAGGCTTCACGGCGTGGCGATCCAGAGCAGCCGGATGGGATATATGGAATTTAGCTGGAAGGCAGTAGCAGCAGTAGCAGCAGCAGCAGCAGGAGCAGCAGCAGCAGCAGGAGCAGCAGTAGCGGCACTCATCCCACCGGCAACACCAACAAGGACGACGAGGGGAAGACGGAGAGGGCAGTATGAAATGCCATTCGCGCCCTATCCCCGTTGCAAAACTGGAATTCGCAAATTTGAACTATTTGAACGTTTGTAGTCTCCGTACCTTCATCCTTCTCCACCATTCGCATTTTACTTCTCCACAACCTACGCTATAGCACGAGCTTCGCGTTCAGCCCCGGAACCTGGAGAAGTTAGAGAGGCATCCATAACGAATCGAGCGATCTTGGAAAATAAGTCTTCCGCAACACTTGTTTTTTTGTTGCAGCATCGAAACGAAGTAATAATAAAGCACAGAGGCGCAGAGCGTTTGTAGCCAAAGCGATAATGCGCTTTTGCTGCAGGCTCGCAAGGGGTGAAAGCGCAAAAAGTTGACGTTGATGATTCGTCATGATAATTCTTTTGCCTATTCATCATGTGAAAATCACCAAAATTTCAGATTCATGGCTTTTTCGTTTCTGATTTATAATCTTAGCCCTTTGTTCTACATGGGACCACAAGACAGCAGACAAAATTATTTGAAAACTATTCTCGCACTATACAGCGAACCAGGCTAGAAATTGTTAGTTTGGTATGCGCTTCATCCCGAAAAGACAGCCAGCCTAAATTTGCACCAGAAGTAACAGGCCAGAAAATACCAGTCGCAAACTGATTTCATTCATGTCTGGGAAACCTCAAATTTCTGTGCTTGAAATGAGCGAAACTTGAACTTGTTGCAAACTTGAAATGAGCGAGAGGCTGAAACTGAATTTGAAGTTGCAAGCCTCGTCCTCAGCGATGTCTGAGTTGCAGCCCCATGCCTAGTTTCAGGCTAGTTATGCAGCTTGGGAAGTAAGAAAACTTTCGGCTGGAACTTTTCAATGCTTATCCCCTTAAACAGTTCTAGGTAAAACTGTAAAATCAAGCCCTAAACCTTACTGCACTTGATTTGTCTCAAGTCTGGCTTCACTTGACTGCAGTGGCATATAAAGGAAATATCAAGTAAATTTTGTTATGAAAAAACAGACTGAACTAGGAATTCGAAGCTTTTTGGATGAGTTCAGTGGCTTGAAATTAGCTTTTAGAGCTTAACGTTTTTTTTTTTTTTTTTTTTTTTTTTTTT